AGCACGGGGCCAGGGGATGAGGAAAGGCGCAGTGGGAGGGGGCCAAGCAGGGAGGGAGCAGGACCTGGGGCGGAGCCTAGGAGGAGTGGGGGTGGGCTGTGGGCGGGGCTGACGGCACCCCAATGTGTCCCAATATTTTAGTGTTGTGATCTGATCACCCTAAATAAAAGCAGCGGTACTAAATGTGGCACCCCATTAGGTGGCCCTTAAGGCATTGAGGTGGGTTGGTAGCCAGCTATAGAAACCATGAATTGTATCTGTCATGTCTGCACTGCCTGGGTAATCTCCCAAACAGCCAATGCCCTGTGTCTGCCCCACAGGGCTCCGGGAAAACCTGGTGAGGATTCTCTGGGTGGGGCAGTTCTCTCGAGTTATTCCAAAGGCCTGGTCAGGGGATGGCTCCCAGACATTGCACTAGCTTTGCACAGAGCAGCTCCTTGAAGTGCCCTTCCTGGGGGAAGCATTCCAAGCTGGCAGATTGACTGAGAGGTGCTAACAGAAGGCTGCTGGCTGACAAAACCACTCTTCTTGGGCTTTTTGGAACAGGGAGTCTGTCCGGGCAAATCTGCCAGGACCCGTCTCCGCTTCTGAGAAACGCAGAGCGAAATATGGCAGTGGAAGGGAATAGCATGAGCGGAACGTTCTCCGACTGCAGCCCGTGCCTAGATCTCCATTAGTGACAGAAGTCTTGCCAGCAATTTCGGGACATTTGAGATTTCCTAGCAGTGAAGAGAGAGAAACTCCCTAGCCAGCCTTGGCTTCCTCCTGGACGTAAATCAGGGTGTCAGCTGTCTCCAAAGCTCAGTGTGCACAATGCTAAGGAATCAGGAAGGCCACTGGTCATGTTTCTGATCAGAGCCTGGAGAACGGTCCCTCCACTAGCCTGGCAGTGTAATACTAACACAGGACAAGAGTGAGGTAACGTAGAGAGTAAGGAGCAAGTAACCAAAGCAAGAGAGACTGTACATGAACATGTGCAACCTCAGCACAGCTCCAGGAGGCAATAGAAACACACCTCAACGGTCACGCGTCAGGACCTGGATACCTCTCTCCTGTTCTATAGTACAATTTGTGCCCCCAAAGACTTCTGCCTATGGACTTAGCACCTAGCAGTGGAAAGGATAGTTCCCCTCGGGGGATAGAAGATTTCCCACTGAGCAGTGGTCTGATGTCATTCCTCGGTTCAGCAGGTTTAAAACAAACAAAAGGAAGTATTTCTTCACACGACGCACAGTCAACCTGTGGAATTCCTTGCCAGGGGATGTTGTGAAGGCCAAAACTATAACAGGGTTCAAAAAAGAACTAGATAAATTCATGGAGGATAGGCCCATCAATGGCTATTAGTCAGGATGAGCAGGGATGGTGTCCCTAGCCCCTGTTTGTCAGCAGCTGGGAATGGGCGACAGGGGATGGATCACTGGATGATTCCCTGCTCTGTTCATTCCCTCTGGAGCACCTGGCATTGGCCACTTTCAGAAGACAGGATACGGGGCTAGATGGACCTTTGGTCTGACCCAGTCTGGCCGTTCTAATGTTCTTATATTCAGTGGCTCATGGGGCGGGGCGGGGTGGGAGAATGCAGTAGAGCTGAGTTACAAGTACTCCATTCAAGGACATTATTTTAATTCCTAGAGCTACGGCACCTACATGGGCGTCGGCATGTTCGAGGCCGCAGAGTTGGAGGCAGTGCGATGAGCAGTGTGAGTGGGCCACACGTCTCTGGGTTTGCTGGGTTTGTGTGCGGTCTGTTTACACTGGAGGTTTGCGGCTGTGACATCTCAGCTTGTGAGCGCCATGGCAAAGTCCGGGAGGCCTCTGAGGAACCCCAGGCTGCTGCCGGACATGGAGAGGGGGACTAGACCCCGCCCAGTTTTGTTTCGTGTAACACCTTGTAAATGGAATTGCCTTGTGATCAGCGAGGGAGAGGAGCCTGGCTTGGAGACCCGGAGACAAAAGGGAGTGGCTTGCAGGAGCGAATAATTCTGAAAACAAATGAAGAGAGAAAACCAGACGCCAATACTCCTGCCAATCAAAACAACCGCCGCCACCAACCGATGAGACTCAAAAAGACACTGGGGAAAGCCCAGAGAGAATCAGCGGCATCACGCTGCGCAATTCATGCCCACCACTATTTATTTAGGGCTACGCATGAAATTCACTCCTGTTCAGAGGGCCTGCACTATGTCTTTGCCACACCTAAGTCCCACCTGAATAGTGCACAGAGCCTTTTGTTCCCCTTTTCACCCTCCATGAGACATTGTTATAGTAGTCAAGCAGCAATTAGCAAGAGCCTGGCTGATTCCTGCTGATACAGGACCCGCACTTGCTGAACACAGCAAGATTTGACTTCTTACATCAGCACTGTATCCTTGATAACCAAAGTGAGCCAATGCTTGAAAAGAGGAATCCGATACACTAGCGTCAGTCCTGTTTATTCTTTCACAATTGCCTCTTACAAAACCACCCCAAGTTAAATCATGAGGAAAGTTGCTAACGTGGCCGGTAATTTTGGAGTTTCTTCTGGAGAAAGGAGAACAGAATTTTGGCAAGAGTGCGCTTGAAGGTTGCAGAAATGCCAAAGTGGGTGCATAGCAAACTCGTCTACCCACACAGTTGTCTTGTGACATTTAAATTTACAAGGGAATAGCTTAGGCGTGAGATCCAATCAGCTCAACCCTTGGGGGCGTTTCGAACTAGACCGGACAGAACACTGGAGAGTAGGGAATGAGTCCTGAACACGCCCTGGGCAGACAATGGATCTCATTGGACCGTTCCATCTCTAGGTTCAGTTGCCAGGCACACAAGAACTCAGCAGAGAGACTTCCCTGCCCCAATCAGGGAACACCAGCAGGTGTGGAATGACCTTCATCTGCTGTGGCAAGTTAGGAACATGCACTGACTTCTTGTAGGATGATGTCAACATCTTCCTGTTGCCTCCAGCTACCATTTTGCTCAAGACTTTTGCAGCGATTTAAATGACTGGCCTTCACTTGCAACCACCCGGCCATTGAAAGGTGACCTGCTTCTCAGGTAGAGAGCTGAATACTTTCTTCACCCAGCCAATCTCATTCCCCCTTTTCTAGTTTTCTAATATTCTAGTACCCCTACCCCATGACACTGCCTTCCTCTTAGACATCAGGCAGGTAGATGAGAGAACATGGAGACGGGTTCATTAGGGTCCAGCTCTGAGCTCAGCAGCAGTAAATTTGACACAGAAAAATAGATGTCAATACAGCCCAGCGCTGCTGGCTGGGTCTCGGCTGGCTCATCGATAAGGGATGCAAGAGCATGAAGAAGACAAGAGTCCATTGTCTTGGCGGAAGCGTGTGTCTAGGAGAAGAGGGCCCTAGGCTGGGAGGAAGTGTCTGTCTGTGGGGTCCCTCAAATTAGCTTGTGAAGCAAATGATCTGCTTCATTAGCAATTCTTGGTGTTTCTCTGCTAATTCCTGGGGGTAATTCAGGCTAGTGAGGAAGCTGAATTCCGTGCTGAATAATCGGAGGATGAAGGAGTGCTCCTCTCAAGACAGACAGGAGTGTGAGGAGTTCACAGGAGGTGGATTCGTGGAACCGCTCACTCTGCTGCTTTAATGAATCTCTGATTCCTAGGGATCGACTTTATAAATAAATCTGTCAGAATCATCGCTGTGCGCAGCATTGCTATAGCTGTGTTAGACTCCCAGGCCTGAAGAAGAGCTCTGGGGAAGCTCGAAAACTTGTTTCTCTCACGGACAGAAGTTGGCCCAGTAAAAGATACGACCTCACCCGCCTTGTTTCTAGAATATCGCCGTCTGTTTCGCTGAACAGAGGAATGACATCAGCCCAGACCAATGGGGTATCTGCTCTCATATCTCTTGTATACAGGTTCTGATTCTGCAGCCAGCCCCGTGGGAACACAGCCCGGCCAAACAAGTGCAGAGGACGCCTGCCCCTCGCTGCGATGCTCTGGCCTGGGGGACTTCGTTTATGGGATGGCGATCTATTGAATAACTTCAAAGGTGCTCGGCATCTAGATGCCCAGACTCATTAGTCACAACTGCATTTCCACCATAGGTCAAACTCAGGTAGCAGCAAATACTATTAACAACCACAAACCTATTCAGGCCTTTAAAAAAATGTCCTGACACCATTCGTCTCCGTGGCCTGCTGTCGCGGGGAGTCCCACAGGTCGGCTGTACAAGAGGTAGTGCCCGAACCGTAAATGTACTACCTTTCCGATTCACTGCGCGGTTCCTTGCTCACACGTTACAGGGGAGATTAGACCGAACCACACGACTGGGGTTTATTATTGTCAAGACACCTCTTACTCTCCTCTTTAGGGTAAAACAACAAAATCAAGATCACAATGTGTCTTTCACAAGACCCCCTGCTAAGTCCCTCTGAACTGTTTCTTAGCATCTCCTTTATCGCTTTTGAATGTGAACCCGGCACTCCCCCAGCAGGCACACCATCATGTTATAAATGCCTTGATAGTACCCTCCGTCCCACCGGTAACACATCCGAGCATCCTATTTTCTACTCTAGCTTCTGCACACCGGCCAGGCCACTGCATCAAGCTCTCAAAAGGGGGCTCTTAGCTCCTTTCCCCTTCGTGGCACCTGCTCATTCAGACCCTTTCTGCACAGGGGAGAAGTTTAGATCATTCCTCCTCATCATGCATCTCTCCAAATCAAATTGCAGCTGCCCAATCATCCCCCCCGCCATTTGATTAGGTCCCTGTGGAGCTTCCGACCTAAATAGCTGTGTCCCCGTCAGCAAGTTTCAGCGCTGATTGCGGGGTTAGGCGTCAGGAGCCCTGGGCTGCCGGCACCAATTTATTTTGAAATGGTTTAAGGGCGTAAAAGAGCTCTTTAAGGATTTGTTGCGTAAAATACCCTGGCACATCTAATGGAGGACACGGCATTTGCAGAGAAATTCAGAGGTGGGAGGAGGGTGGGAAGGGCAGCTCAGCTTAGTCCACCCCATCCTTGTCCCTTTGGTCCAACTTCAAAATCTTTCAGTACCTTCTGATTGGCGCTGTCCTCCTTGGGCCTGCTTCTCTCTCCTTGGACTGCCCGGGCCAGGTATTAAAGACAGGATGAAACTACGCAGAGTTCACCGACTGCATCAACGAGTTGCCACATGGAATCAGCTCTCCCTGTAGGCTGCAGCAAAGCTCTGGGTAGGTCGGCCCCTCGAAGGAGAGAAGCCATTCAGCACCATGCAAAGAGCTGGTTAAGGTTTATCTTGTACCTTCTGATGTTGCACCTTCTCCAGGGGAAAAATCATTCTATGGCCCTTCAACAGAGAGACATACACATACCTGGATACACACACACACATAAGTGCACACAGTGCCTTTCCGATCTGATCTTAAGGCAAGAGAAAAAAAGCCACACCAAAATCTTAGGATGGGGTTTTTGGCCGGGTTTCCTCTTAAAGCAACATCTGAAAATAACACAGTGATCTAGCAAAATTGGCAGGAGTCCTGCCGGTGACCCAACCCTAGACAGAAATCAGCTGGGCCTCATGTATTGTTGCCAAAAATGTGACATACTCTGAGTTCTGTTTGATGGTGGCTTATAGGGTCCAAAGGCCTCCAAAGCGGAGCCCCTCCCTCCCCTGATGTGGTTAGAGCGAGGCTCAAGAGGAATGTTTACAGCTTCTCTAATCTGGCTAGAATTAAGCCATTAATCTCTGATCCCAGTGTGTGAGGCTGCCACCTCTCTTTGGTAGTCTCCCAACCATCCCATCTCTTTCCAAGGCACTGAGTCACTTCCCCACTTGTAATCTGACTTCAAAAAGTTTCCTCTGCAACCTCTGCTTCAGATTGACTTTCTCAGATGGCTTTTCTGGTTGTCATTACTTAGCATTTGTATTGCGGTAGTGCCCCCAGGGCCCCGCGGGCCTGTCTGCATGGCAGCTGGGAGGAAGTCTCCCAGCTCATGGCCACAGACTTGTGTGAGTGGGGCTTGCGCTAGCGTGATAAAAATAGCTGTGCAGACGTTGCTTCGAGGTTGCGACTCGGGCTGGCATGCAGGCTCTCAAGCCATCCCCTTCTCCTCCCCACCCCAGGGTTGAGTGGCCGAGCTCCAGCCCAAGACAAACCATCTGCACATCTGCCTCTTCCCAGATGCAGTGTAGACATACCCAGTAAGACTCCGTTCTGCAAGGCATTGCACAAACACCGAGCACTTGCCATTGTCACCCACTGGGCGATCTTGCCTTTATTATATTCACTGTTTTGCATTATTGTGACCGGGGTCCCAGTGGGGAGTCAGCCGAGGTCACTCAGTTAGGGTGAACTGCAAAGAATGGGGCAGACAAACCCCAAAGCTGATGGATAATTCAATACTTAAATGTACCACGCCAGCATAAAACAGCTTCTCTACTACTGCACTGGTTATTCAGAAGTCCAAAACAAAACAGTTCCCTTAAAGTGACCCAGCCTCAGGCCTCCATCCAGGTACCCAAGTCAAATATGATGATGATTTCTGAAAATCTTATTTCATTGTATAAAAGAAAAGGTTCTACCAATCCCAAAGGATCAGACACATTACCTCCCAGGTTATTGAATATTCCAGATCTTACCCAAATACATGCTACAGTCAATTCTTTTCAACTAAACTAAAATTTATTAAAAAACAAAATTTATTAAAATTAATTTAAATGGATTAAAAACTGGCTAACTGATAGGTCTCAGAATGTAACTGTAGATGGAGAATCATTCTCGAGTGAGTCTGTTTCTACAGGGGTCCCACAGGGATCGGTTCTTGGCCCCAGGCTATTTAACATTTATATCAATGACCTGGAAAAGAACAGTATAAGGATAGAGAGAGAGTATGGTTAAAAGATCAATATACAGACAGACATGAATTCAGTTCTTGAGATTCAGATTCATAGCAGAGATGGTGAGCTTTGTAGTTGCAAAGGGTTCTTTCAGAAATAGTTCATAGGTTATAGTCCAATGTCCAATCTCATATTCGAGCTGTACCAGCAGAACTGGGATCTCATCTTGCGACTCAAACTTCCCCTGATGAAGCTTAAGCAGATCTGAGATTAACAGGGATCAGGACCCAAGGCTCTTTTATACAATTTCATGTCCTCTTTGACGAGTTGGGATTTCCTCGGGGAACAAAAGGGAATTGGGATGACTTTGAAGGAGGTCCATCACCGGTACTTAGCTATACGAATTAACATAAAGCCATTGGCTTGTTCCTCCACCATTCACAGATGATTTGCTATACATTTCAAAGAGAGATGAATACAGAGATAGTCTGTGTTTACAATTCATTTAAATGCTAGGATTTATTTTGATCTCTGAATTATCAGAATACAGCACAGACAGGGACTGTTGATTACATTGTTGACCATTACCCATATACATGTAAATACACAAAAAACACAAAGATTATCTCCCCACATGACTTTAAGGGTTGAATTTGAGTCATTCTTCCTGCAGGATGTTTAAAGCTTTTTGGCCATGCGTCACAATTATATTCTGCTTTTATTATATTCAGCAGTAACACAAAGAACCTACAGGCCTGTATCCTGTAAGACATTGGCTTCAGCAGCTAGTGTAAAGGCTTGAGGCCTACGAACTTCGAACAGATAAACTTTACACAGATAAACAGCCCAATGGAAACCCCAAGTATTGAAGAGCTGACAAGAGTGTTTACGGGAAATTTCTGCCCACAGGAACATGCTCCAACCCCAAGAGTGTCAAGTTGACATATATAACATGTACATGCGCCACATCCTCAGACACCTAACCACAAGAGGGCCATGGTAATGAATTGACGTATGTGATAATAAGTTGAGATCATTAATATACTAATCTATAGAAGAAACTCCAACCTTAGTAAGGTGAGGAAATACAAATGAGGAAAAGGGGGAAATCCTCTATTGAATATGCATCAAACATAGTGGCATCAGCGTAACATCTTATAAGAGTTGTATCCCAGCCTAGGGGCGGTAGGAGAAGGAGATGCAGTCCTTGGGAGGTGCCAAAATGATGCCACTGGCGACGAGGGAGAAGGTGATGGTGATGAGGAAGATGATGGCTCACATTTCAGCTTGTTCTGCAAGGGATGATGTGAGTATATGGGTCCGTTCTGCAGTATCTCGATCTACCTTCCTGAGTTGGGGTGGTTGTGACTGTGCTAAATGTATTAATAAACTATATGTAAATATAGAGGAGTTCCTATAGTGTGACTGTTGCAACTGTGCACATCGGGGTTCCCAACTACATAATCATTTCAATATACTGGGCCTGAGCTTGGTACAAGAACCTGTCACCCTCAAAGTGATAACTGGGGATTCAATATAATTAACACATCGTTTATAGCTCAGGCTACACAATCGAAATAGAGAAGAAGGGAGCAATGAACAGGTGGGGGGGTTGTGGGAGGAAGGGCACTGGTAGCAGCGGTAGGAGGGCTAACTCAATGATTTGCACATGGCAGCCATGTGATAAATTGCATTAGTCATGCACCTTAGACTGCCTCACCTGCATCCTGCCCCGAGGGGCTGGATTGCCGCAGCCCTCACTCGGCTGTGCGAGGCAGTAGATTCATAGATTCCAAGGCCAGAAGGGGCTATAGTGATTGTCTAGCCCAGTGGTCTCAACCCGCGGCCCAATTAGCACACAGCCGCGGCCTAGCTCAGCTGTATGCTAAAGTCCGGCCTGCGTGCTGGGGTCCACCAGGTTCCCAGCTGTCTGGCGTGTAGGGGTCCAGGCTGTCCTGCCGCCTAGCGTGGCAGGGTCAGGATCAGGCCTGCCGGCCTGCCCAGCCCCACAAGGTCCAGCCCCACGAGGTCCGGGGCAGCTGCACGGCGGGGGTCCAGGGTAGGCGGGCGGGCAGCCGGCCCATGCGACAGGGGCCCAGGGTCGGGGTCCGGGTTGCCTCTGCCCTGCCACCCCTGCGGCCCAGGTAACACATGGTCTAGCCTGACCACCAGATAATGCAGGCCAAAGAGTTTCCCCAAAAATTTCCTAGAGCAAATGTTTTTGGGAAAATGTTCCATCATGACTTAACAATTGCAAGTGATGGAGAATCCACCACGACTCTAGACAAATTGTTCCAATGGCTAATCGTCCTCACTGTTACAAATATATGCCTTATTTCCAGTCTGAATTTGTCTAGCTGCCCCTTCCAGCTATTGGGTTGGAATAAGTTTCTCTCTGCTAGACTGAAGAGCCCATCACCAAATATCTGTTCTCCACATAGGTACTTACAGACTGTGATCAAGTCACCCCTTAGCCGTCTCTTTGTTAAGCTGAATAGATTGAGTGCCTTGAGTCTATCACTATGAGGCAGATTTTCTAACCCTTTAATCATTCTCATAGCTCTTCTTTGAACCCTCTCCAATTTATCAACATCCTTCTTGAATTCTGGGCATGTTTTGCCATCAGCAGTCGCACCAGTGCCAAACACAGAGGTAAAATAATCTCTCTGCTCCTACGCGAGATTCCCCTGTTTATGCAGCCCAGGATCACATTAGCTCTTTTAGCCACCACATAGCACTGGGAGCTCATGTTCAGCTGATTATCAGCAGGAAGCCAAAATCTTGTTTCAGAATCACTGCTTCCCAGGATAGAGTCCCCCATCCTGTAAGTATGACCTGTATTCTTTGTTCCCAGATGTGATATTTACATTTAGCTGTATTAAAACACATGTTGTTTGCTTTTGCCCAGCTTACCAAGCGATCCAGATCACTCTGTTTCAATGACCCGTCCTCTTCATTATTTACAACTTCCTCAACATTTGTGCCACCTGCAAACTTTATCTGTGATGATTTTATGTTCTTTTCCAGGTCATTGATATAAATGTTAAATAGCCTGGGACCAAGAACCGATCCCTGTGGGACCCCAGTAGAAACAGACTCACTCAAGAATGATTCTCCATCTACAGTTACATTCTGAGACCTATCAGTTAGCCAGTTTTTAAACCATTTAAAGTGTGCCATGGTAATTTACATCATTTTAGTTTTTTTCATCAGAATGTCATGCGGTACCAAGTCATACGCCTTACAGAAGCCCAAGGATATTACATCAACGCTATTGCCTTTAGAGTGTAAGGCCCAGTCCCGCCCTGTGCTGCTCAGCCCTGCAGTGAAGAGAGCAGGGGCTACTCACCAGAGTCGCACAGGAAATAGGAGGAGAGTTTTCTGGAAAAAAAAATATTCAGAACACAACATTGGGGAGAGCGGGGGGCTCAACGAGAAAATTAAAAAGTTTCAATGAGGAGAACACTTCCACATTTTTTGTTTTCCCCCGGCATAGGGGG